GGGAAAGAGACAGAACGACTGAAAGAAGTGCGACCTGCACCACGTCTGAACAACGACTCGACAATTTATTTTTAACAACTGCCTTCGGTTACTTAGTTTAGTTCACCTGAGCTAGCCAGTCAGAGACAGAGTTGAACAAGTCCAGTCATCAACTGGCCATTAGTGTGAGACCCCCTGATCAGTGTTGACTATGACATTTACAGATTACATTGTCATACTTTTTTTTTTCTTTGCTTCATTCTCGCACTGTAATCTTTGGCATGCAGTGCAATAATGAAACTGTCCGAAGCAACACACATACACACACAGACGAGACGTCCAACCCAAACGTTTTCCAGGCTTGAAGACAGGAGCTCCCAAATTCTATGGCCTCTAGCGACCTGGCAGGAGTTTGATTTGCGCCGAGGGGACTGTATGTGGAAAGTGCAGCATGTTCACATGGCTGATTAGGACCAGCGAGAAAGTGTGTCCGTCAATGTCTGCGTTTGTGTTTCGGCTTCAACGTGTAGTGGCAGGCATGGGCCAAACTCTTAGCATGCAACAGATGGATATATATATTTATATATATGAGCGCGTGTTTAAGGTTGTGTGTAGCAACGCTTCATCGCGGCACTCTGCAGCCCCTTCTGGTCTCCAAGGAGAATTATCCAGCTTCCCCTCTTTCTCCAGAGGAATCGAGATCTAATGAAAACCATCTTGTTTTCTAACTGGTCCCTCGAAGGACGAATGAATGGTTGACATTCCAAGCAGTGACCTGGAGCTTTTAAAAATATATCCATAACTAAATCCTCATTTGACTTCACAATACTACGGAGCATTGTTCTCCTTCCATTTTGGTGCTCCAAATCCATCATCTTCAAATTTTCTAAATAGACAATGGCACTCTGTTTGTGTATGTTTTTACATTGCTTATAAAAATAGGTTTGATTAAAGGTCGACTAATATTCAGTTGCAACTTTGGCTGCAATTATCTTGCAAACTGGCGGCGGGCCTGACGATAGTTTGGAAGTACTGCAGGGTAATTCACTGTGCATTATGTGCTGTGGTTAGGTTCCACTAACAATATGTCAAAAGTACATGAAGCAGAGTAGCTGCTCAGGTGTTGATGTGATCCAACTTTCCAATGATTTCCCCTTTTTTTATTTTTATTATTTTATTTTTTTTACAAATGTAACCCACATTTCACTGTTTGTTCCTCACTTTAACCTCCTACTATTTAAATCCACTGCTGGAACCAAGAGTAAAAATGCATCCATTGATTTGCTTTATTGTATGGATGGAGTGACAGACGGATGGACGGATGGACGGATGGACGGATGGATGGATGGATGGATATTAATCCCATGGGAGTTTCCTTTGTGAAATTAAGGATGAACTAATTAATTATTATAAGTTATAAGGATACAAATTATTATTTGTAGATCCAGTAGGTGGCAGTAAGTGCTGCTCCTTGTCATGGACTACGTAGGCAGTCCCTTTAGTTGGCCATGTGCTGCAAGGGTCATGTTGAGGGTCACCAAACCATAATCTAGCGTAGAGCACCATAATGACTAGCAATGACTTTTATGGCAGAAATCCACTGTTGGGTGAGGGATTATTGACAAATGTTTATTTTATGTATAGGGTTTAAAAAAATGTTTTTAAATGTTTAAATTTATTGTTTATTTTATGTATAGGGTTTTAAAAAAATGTTTTTAAATGTTTAAATGTCCAGTAGGTTTGTACATGTATCCAGTGGGCAGCTACTAGTTTCCTAACATACAGGACTTAGTTGTTTTGTTGTAAAAGGGTTTTGTGTTTAGAGCTGGAGGATAAGGTTCATCTGAAAGCTCAAGAAAATTTAGCTTTGGACCAAAGCAATTCATCTGTGTTTATTGCACCCCCTGCTGGGGAGGAAGGGTTTGTGTCTATAAACAAAAACACAATCTCTTATAATGTATTTTCTTCTTTTTTAGATCAAAAAAGCGTATCGACAGAAAGCCTTGACTTGCCATCCAGACAAAAACCCAGACAACCCAAAAGCTGGTGAGTAAGACGGACAGATGGCGTTTTTTAAATCTGCATTAAACTCCATGCACCTTCACAAATGTTCTTGTCTCTTGAACCTTTTCAAAACTCCAGCCAACTATAATTCAACAAAGTACATTTTCTTTTCTGAAAACTAGACAGTGTTTCACCAGACAGCCAACCACCAACCGTCAGAAAAGAACGGAGAAATTGTTCACAGCAGTTTAAATTCGGTGCGACAGCCTTGTCAAATGGTTGTGTAAGAATTCTTCTGCCTCTCTTGAGCCAGACACGGCGGTCCAAATCCACTACCAGCACCAGTGTTTCCACACTCCATCCCTCGTCTTGGCTTTATGCCCCCCCCCTCACTCACCCTCCCTCCAATGGCCTGCTGCCAACCACCATGTCAACAATTGGAGCAGGAAACATCAGTGTAGCTTTTTGTTTGAAGGAGAGAAAGGCACCTCGGACAAAAGGCTGGTCATGAGTTCTGTTTTTAAGTGAGGTTTGTGTGGTTACTGGATGGTTCAGACGATTCCTGATTATATCGGCGGGGGGAACTGGTAAAGTTGAGAGGTTTGGGAGGGATAAAACAAAAGCAGGGGGTCGGTTTCCCAGAAATGGAAAAGAAGTGGTTTGGAGGGGGGCCCCAGCACTTGAACCCCTGCATGTACTGACCCGGTATTTTATCGCACGAGAGCGGTGAAAGTCAGGGGACTTGTTGCCCTTTCTGGAAAGTTTGCTTGTCACCCCCACCTCCCCTACCCCGTCCCCCGGTGGATTTTGTTCCTGCTATTCATATGCATGTAGGTAACTTGACCTCTGGTGGTACCATGGTCTCCAGAACCTGTTGGTGTGCGTTGCCAGCCCCCCCGCCCCCACCCCCCCAGGGGGGTAACAGTATTGTTATGTTAGGCCTCCCATAAGTGAATAATTATGCCAGGCTAGTATAACACCGTAGCGTGGCGGTGGTACGAGACTGTGGTCTCACTGTGTACATTCACGTGTGTGTTTTAGATGACAACTGGGGGTTAGGGTAGTGCGTGGTAGTGGTTATTGCGGCCCCTGGGGGAGCTCTAATGGTACAGAGACGGAGAGGCCGAGGGTTGGAGTGTGACTGCGCAGCTGTGTCTTACAGGAAACGGGTCGCGTGATGGGTCTGTGTTCTTACTGACTGTCCGAGTCCAACGTCACGCTGAGTTTCCATGGCAGCTTCAAAAGCTGTGGTCCGTGGCTTTGATGCGGTACGAACTGGCTAAAACCTGTTTTCTGGAGAAGATTGGAACACAATATGAAACTCTGCACGCTACAATTTGATTTGAACTCGAGCCAGTTTTGGCAAAGAAGAAAAACTTTCAACATGACGTAACTTGGAGTGTAACTCCAAATTTAGCTTCATAGATTTGGTGCTGTTCAGTCTTGATGGTAGTTTTTGGCCGATGGGCCGAGAGCTGCTTTCAAAACGTCCAAATACGTTGTCCTCAACGATATTAATTGGTAATTAATGACATGTTTATCGACTGTGTATTAGCACAAAATTTGCTTAACACGCTGGGTTCCAATGTGTTAATACAATTAATTTTATAAATTGATTTTTGCGATGAATGTCAAAATGAAAATTTAGAGATTTCATGTCTCTGGTGAAGACGCTGCTACAGTACAGTGTATAAAACCACAGCACTGAGTGTGTTTTTCCTGTTGTTTTTGTTTAACTAAATTTCTTTGTTTTCCTCTTTCCAGTCGAGCTCTTCCACCAGTTGTCCCAGGCTCTCGAGGTGCTAACCGACGCCGCTGCCAAAGTAAGACCACAGATGGCTCACGACTCACGACCGTTAGCGCTGATACGCGCAAGGACACAAGTCTGATGTATGACCCTGTTTTCAGGCCGCGTATGACAAAGTGTGCGCTGCCAAGAAACAAGCGGAAGAAAGAACCAAGAAACTAGACGATAAGAGGAAGAAAATTAAGCTCGGTGAGTCCGTTCTTCAACTCAAAGAATTTGATTTATGCATTTTTATTCTAACTGTTCCTGTTGTTATGAGTCTGATTTATATTTTTGTCTCAGACTCTTTCCTGGATTAATAAAATAAGTGCTGAAATCTTCTATTGTTTAACATTAAACAAAAAAAAATAAAATACAAGCAGCTGTTTGGGAATGATAAAATGATTTGGCTCAGTTTTGCTGTTTTTGCGTGTGGGAAAAATATGTCATCGCGTGTGTGTGTTTGTCTGTTTCTAAAATGTGCACGTGTGTGTGTGTACTGTGCATTTGAATGTTGCTATGACAGATCTTGAGGCCAGAGAACAACAAGCAGACGCTGAGAGAGAGAGAGATGTGCAAATCACCAGAACACTCGAGGAAGAGGTAAGTTGATTTACAGAAACAAGTCCAGACCATAGTTCACCCCACCTTGCACGGAGAGAAATTATAAAATAAAAAAATAAAAAAATGACCATAATGCCGGCCTCAGTTCTGTTCCCAGGTGCTTTTTATTCTGGCGTTTATCAAATACATTCTTCTGACGATGTTGAAATCAAACAAAGACTTGGTCCCAGAACAAAGAAAGGCTTTTTTTTTTGCTCCCGTATCATAATTACACTGAAACCATTAGGAGGTATTGCATGACAATGATGCACTTTAATGACAAAGTCAATAATAAATTAAAAAAAACTGTCTGTGTGTGACTTCCATTAACAATTAAAAAAAAATCTGTGTCTGTGTGTGACTTCCATTAACAATTAATGCATTTATGAAAATGTGGTTTTGGATCAAGGATTTAACCACTAGGTGGCACTGCACCATTTTCTGTCTCCTATCACTTTAGTCTCAGGTGTACTAACTTGGTCTGCACAGTCTCTCCTGCAGGCAAGTCAGGGAGTGATGAGTGGCAAGAATGTGTGATGATGATTTTGGGTACACGTTTTTCATCACTTTAACTTTTATGGCCTTTTTTTCCTGTTCAATCAGATTGAACGTCTACGGGAGGAAGGATCGCGGCTGCTTGCAGAGGAACAGAGGCTCATCAGAGAGCAGATCCAGCAGGAGAGAGAGGCCCAGCAGCAGAGTGGAGGCTGGACTCACGGTACGTTCACACATTTATCCCAGTCCACACTGCAGGTGGTGAAGTCCAGTTCACCGCAGAGCCATTATTTCCAGAATAGTTCATACACTTCCTAAAATTGCAGTGAACCAGTAAACCTTTATCATGCAAAGAGGAACTCGCAGACCATGTCATCTGTCATGCAACACTGACATTCGCAGAAACCGCATCATGTTTTCAGAGACCTGACTGATCTGAAGTGGACCTGGAGATGTGTTAAAAAAAGAAATTTAGTTTTTGACTCCAGGGCTACGATGGGTTCTGCAAATGGAGCTGGGCCAGGAGCAGATAGCTGGAATGTTCATATTAAAATATTAATATAAATGTTTTTGACCTTTACTACTCCTCGTGCCAAAGTATCTGTGAAAACCACAAGTTTCTTGTCATATCAGACAAACAGCTGCTGATCGGACTTCGGTGAAAAAATATGTTGTTTTGTCCACTCCTTATTAAACACTCGACACTCTGTCCACTCTCCCTTGACCTGCTCATTTTTTAACTGAAGGGTTGGAAGTTTAAACAAAGGGCAGAGCAAAACAGTGAAGTGGAGACCACTCACCCCTAGAGTGCGCCATCTGTTGTGGAAACGCTGTCATTGCAGGGATAAATCAGAACAACAGAAGTCTAATTTAAATGTAATATAATAATATAATTTGGACAAGGTCGGTGGGTCAGGTTAGAAAGACTAACGGGCCGTATCCGGCCCACGAGCCGTAGCTTGCCCATGCTTCATCTAGACTATGATTAATAAAATATGCAAAACCGGGTTTACTGGGGCATAAAGGCATGTGACTAACGTATGTTTGACCTTAAATTCTGCTTTAAAGCTCTTGGAAAAAAAAAAAGTTTTTATTTAAATTTCTTCATCGCAGGTCAATGTAAGGCCATCATTCACCACACACACATACACACACACTAGCCGTCAAACTTTTAACCTCTGATGATTATTTTACATTAAAGCGATGACGTCTCTTCTCCGGAGACATGAAAAAAAAAAAAAACAGGCCTTGTGAAAGAATTTAATGGAAGTGTGGCTGTACTGAATCTTGGCCCTTGAAAAAAAATTCCCTTCTTGTGGCCGGACAATTACTCATGACTGGTCGGCACATCTTTTGAGTGTCTTCTGTTTGCACGCAGTCAGCCCCCCCCCCGAATCCCCCTAACACCCCCTTTCCAGCTCCCAGTTCAGGGTCTGATCTGTCTGGAACGCAGTGCATCATCCGACTGTAGCAAGAACATACACATCAACCTCATGACAGCCGGTTTCAAACTGCCGTCCATCTGCAGCAGCCTGTTGACTGCTGCCTGGAGTGCTATATTTCTTTAGCAGTGCAAATGCAAGTGTGTCTCTGTCTGTTTACGTCACTGCATCACCTCATTTGTCTGTCATGTTTGCCCTCAGGCTCAGGAGTGAAGGGATGCACCAGGAGCAGTGTGACGCCGAAACTGAAGGTAAGGCTTTCTAATATGACACTGTCATCACCATCACGTCGTTGGAGGGCCTGTACTTCATATTACTACAGTCTAATCATCTAGTACATATTTTTTTCTCGCTTTTAAATGACCAATTGAAGCATTTTAATAAATGAAAAAAATGTTATTAAATGTAATTACCCAGGGGCAAAATTAAGTTATTATTCACATTTATTTGCAGGGCCAGATATTGGGGGTTTGTGGGCTGGAAGTGGCCCGTGGACCAGGAGTTTGTAAATCCTTTTTTCATTCCTAAATGATCAATTGAAGCATTTTAATTTATGAAGAAACTGTTGATTTTATTTTTTACATTTATTCTTGGACCAGAGGTTGGGCGATTGTGGGCTGTAACTGGTCCTCAGGCCAGGAGTTTGAAACTCCTATGTTAGAGGGTTGTAATAAAGAAGACAAAGCAGCAACACGGGGGATATTATTCCGCAAGAAGTACTCTGTTTGGGTTTAAGAGCGTGCACGTAGTCGGTTGGAAGTTTTGATACGATCTGAGACATTTGCGATCCATTATTTAGAGACCACATACGCAGCCTCAACAGAGTTCCTTACGCCCCGTCCTCCAGAGTAGGCCCGGCGTCGTCAGGAGACTTGTAACTTTGTCAGGAGAGCGCTTATTGTATTAACTCCTGGAAATGGCTACGCCTGTACATATTAACAGACACTGGGGATGTTAGCTAATGTCTTTAGACTTTGCAGACCAAGCTGCTTTTGAATTTGATAGCCCACTCATGCAGCTGCGACTAGCATTAGCTGACGTTTATGTGTTGTCTTAAAATAACAAACAAGAGGGGTGAGGCCGGACTGACGGACTCACAGTTCATGTTCTTGGACATCGCTACAACTCTGACCTTTCTGATTGTGTGAAATGTCAGTTTTATTATTATTATTTATTACTACGTATTATTATTTATGTAGGTTTGTATTTTGTATGTTTACTGTTGTTTGATTGTTGATGGACTGACTCAAATTGTAAGTCGTTTTGGATAAAAGTGTCATATAACTATGAGACTGTAATGTCTCATAGTTATCTACACCAGGGGTTTTTTTTTTCAAATTGGGTGAATGTGAACCTCCTCTAAAGTATGGACAGCCGACGCCGTCTGCAAAATGTAATGCCGAGGCCCCCCCGCCCCGCAAAAACCTGTCCTCCTGCTCAAACCCACACACACACACCTCTGCAGTAAATGCATTTTCTGTGCTCCTGGAAATAATAACTTTCAATAAGAACAGATAGAATGTATTTGAAAACATTTTATTACATATAACATTTTAAAAAGGGCATTCATGAATGAAATAATTTCACTTCACGCATGCAACTTCATGAAGGCCTCCCCTGTGACTCTTTGACGCCCCCACACTGGAGGTGCTCCCCGCTGAAAACCGCTGATCTACACTGAACTCCAGGGACATATTTTTCTTGTCGTATTTGTTTTTCATTGCCAATTTTGAGAAAGAAAAAAAGTCACGTTTTTTTAACTATGGCCCCTTGATTTTATTCTTCATAAAAATAATAACTACAAACCCGCAAAGTGTCAGTTAAGTTGACAGGCATGTCCTGCAGATAGCATGCTGTTCAAAGAACACAATGCTGTTGAACACTCCTGTTGATGAGAGAACAGATTGTCAACTGCAACCGTTGAAACAGCTCCGTATAAACATGGAAGTTCCCTGGAGTCTTGTTTCACTGACCATGAGTGGAATGCTGGATCAGAGTCGATGTTCAGTGCTTGTCATTTATCATTTTACTTTAGGCAGTTAGCATAATGTTGGCTAGGCTCTGTTATTCTTTGTACGGCGAGCTGAGAAGTTGCACAATTTCTCTATTTAGGCACACGAGAACACACATCGGCATTCAAGACTCTGGCCAAGGGAAAAAAAATAAACGATCCTGATGCCTTTTGAGGAGATTTCTCCTGAACAGACAGAAAAGTGGAAGAGCAGGTTTTCAAATTTTCCTTTGCACAGAAATGCTGTTCAGCAGTGAGAAGGTCAAGAATAAAACAGGGTTAAACGTCAGACACATAGGAAGTTGATAGCTTTAGTTGACCGGAAATAGTTTTCAAACCAACTTCTGACTGTAGAAAATGTAACCTTTGGGATTTCTTCAATAAAACATAATATCAGTATTGTAACATTCAATCCAATTTAGTGGAAAATACAGGATAAAGTGTGATGTAAGTTGGCATGCATGAGTGGAGGCCATCTGTCTTTAGTGGGAGAAGGCCAGAAACCAGAGAATGGAGTCATAAACTCTTCAGAAAAATATTATATTTGAAGCTTTTATCAAGAGTCGGCAGTGGCCTAATTTATCTATATACGTTACCGTTCATACTGTTTCCATGGAAACTCTAAGCCTACGTACTTCTGGCTTATTCTTCCAGCCTTATCCTGGTTTGAAATCATGCACATCCTGAATACCGGTGGTCCTCGACTGACGTTAACTTGCGACGTAACTCCATTTTCGTCGTAAGTCGAAACTCATATTGTACATAAGTACTTATGGCAATCACGTACGCTAATACAGCGGCGACATCATAGTCTTGGCCAATGTATGTCCTACAACCGACAAATGTAAACAAGGCCATCATCTGCGTATAGCGCCACACAAACTAGTTGGGGAGTTTTACTGCTGTACGTTGGATTCATGGAGGAAGACTTTGTTAATAAATCTTTGGGAGAAGGGGACGTAGCCATAGTTGTAAACCAAGCTCCCGCCGGCGCCCCCCCGTGGTGTACTGTGTTTATACTTTTTTAAAGCAGCTGTAGCCACTGGCCATAACTGCTAGATATACAGAGCTTCTGTTGTATTTTACCCAGATTTATCTCCTTGGATGTCAGTGAAAGTGCTCTGATTCAGGTGCCTTCAGCAGAACTCTATGTTTTTGCATCAGTCTCAGGTTCTTCTTAGTGGTTACTTTAATCTTTAATCCTGTCAGATGTCAGCACGTTCCTCCATCTTTGCTTCATGTCTAATCACAACTTTTTTTTCTGTCTCCCTTCTCCTTTTAGTTGAAATGGAAATGTGCGAAAGACGATGAGACAAATGGAGGCTACTCCCAGGACATGCTCTTGAGGCTTCTACAAAAGGTCGGTCTGTGAAAACTGCGCCGTCTCCCCCACAGAACTCTTGCTACTTTCTTAAATCTTGCATGAACTACAACATGCAGTACATGCAGTACTGTAGATCAGCTTGGCTGCTTCACATGACAGGGGTATACAGTATTTGCTAATGTAAGTTCCCATTTTGGGCATGTTGAAGACAAGAGTTTTGGTTAGCATTACCCAGAATTCTAACCCTCAGAATTATTTACAACTTTTAATCGGCGTAAATAATCTCATGACATAATTATGTGCCCATTTCATTTGTTCGCTGTCAAACCCACTGACCAAAACTGCCTCTGACCGGGTCTGCATTACATCAAGGCTGGAGATATTTTTTTTAATTCTTGTCTTTAAACGAGGCCCATTAAGTTTTGTAGCTGTAAAATTGCTGAGGGCATTTGTTTAGTGCCCCCTCTTAAAGCTGTGCACGCCAGCGTCTTCGCCCCTCTTACCAGGTGATTAAACCGTGCCAAGGGAGGCGTCGGGAAATTTGCTTCTCTCATGCAACCTCGAACCCACTTCATTTTATTAACTGTCATGAGGGCTTTTGGTGTGGCCTCACTCTGCCACACACACACACTCATCCAATACTCTTACGGAAAGCAGCCGTATGCATGATGTCAAATTTAGTTTTAGTTACAATAGAGCATTGTTTCCCAAAGACTGGGTCGCGACCTTCAGGTGGGTAGCAAGAGATTTCTTTGGGGGTCGTCTCGCATCGTGTTTCTCACGAATAATGTCTATTGACTTGGGTCGCGAAGGTTTGTGACAAAAAAAAAATGGGTCAAAAAAAAATTGGGAAACGCAGTATTAGAGTATGTACTGATATACACTATGTCACAAGTTTATTTATGCTTTTTAGAATTTTAGCATTGTTAGCATTTTCAGTCTGATTTTCCTTTTCTTAATTAGGTTTTAAGACATATGCTGCTGCTCTGAATGCTAGGTATTTGCTTATAAGATCATGATGTGTTTTTTTGTTTCATGTTTTTTTCTTGTCTTTTATGGGTTTTTTTGTGTTGGTTTTGTTTTTCGTCTTTTTTGTCTTTTTCTCACCTTTGTCCGTAGACACCCTGCCTTCTCTTACCACCACCCCTGGTAAATAAAGAGCAAATAAAAATAATTAAAAACAAAAGTGAAGACACGGCACGTCCATGGCGCCACCCGGAGGTAGTTAAATCTTCAGAATCTTCTAGAAAATTGTGATCTAAGTACGTTATCGATATCGAGCTGTCAACACTCCTGTGTGTTTCTGCAGTGACAGATTAAATCTTACATTTTATAATCTACAGAGTCAAAGTCGTGTGGAAATAGGCCTTTCAAACTTTTCCTTTGCATGCCCTTAATCAATGAGGTCACAAGCATGACGTGTCTGAGTGAATACTGGAAAGAAGTGATGTTCCCTGAAGTGAAGGGAACAAATTTCGAGAAAAAGAAATTTGTTTGCAATGGCAAGCTCCACGGAGTGACACTTAATGGTTTGGAAATAGATGCTGCTGTGTGGGAACGCCAGTGTACTGGTCGGTGCGTACGTGTGCAGACTTGTGTACTTTGGCTGGCGAAAATAATACGTCTTCATCTATGTGGGGAAAAAACAAGTTAAGATATTTATGTTTTCAACAAAAATAACCTTTCCACAGTCTCCTTTGTCACTGTTGGCCCGCGTCTATGTGTCCTTAGTAAGCATTAGCTCCTCTGGACTTCCCCCCTACTCAGAAAGCTACATTTTCACAGGAAGATGCTGCCAAAGGCCAAATCCATCTTCAGTTTCTACTCCCAAGCTCAGGCTGCGGGGTGAGAGTGGCAAACAGTAACACAAAACAGGGCAATAAATAAAACTCAGTCATTAGCACAAGGGTGTCCACACGTTTTTTTCGGCTTGGGAGCTACTTTTCAAATGACCGGGGTAAAAAGATCTACCTACATTGAAAACTATAAATATATATTTACTACTTTGATTAAATGGCTGTAGTTGTATGGCACAATACGGTCTGACGCAATACTTCTATGGTCCTCACTTTAGCCCTAGTGATTAGCATCTTAATGTAGAATTAAATCTATCATTTTTAAAAACATTTTGTTTCTTTAAATGAAATTGCTCAGAATCTACCAGCACTCCATTTGAGATCTATTGTTTTTTTTTTGTTTTTTTTTGCTAATGACTGCACTCATGATGATGTGTCTGTGTCCCCCACCGACATGTGTTTCTCCCTTTCCTCCCCCATCTGGACAGAGGAAGAGCACATAAGGAGTTTGTCAGAGGTCAAGAAATGTCAGATATCTATTTCACACTAATCCTCTTTTTGGCCACCTTTCCTCCCCGTGCTGATTTACGGCGAGGCGCTGAATAAGAGCCGCGTCTCCTTGCAGCCTCAGATGGTTGTCAAACGCTGTCAATGTACAAGGAGTAGCAGAAATGATGACATAAAGTTTTGCCTCTCGTCTCCTCTGAAGAGTCCCAGATGTCTTGTTTCTTGCACGATGTGTCTTGAATGGTCTTTGCCGAATGACTGCTTCAATCCCAGACAGACAAAGCCTATCATTAGACATTAGCTTTATTAAACAAAAACACATTGAATCCCGGCTCTTTTTTTTTTCTTTTTTTTTTCCATTTCTTTCCCCCAGAACTTTGTTACGTTCACCAGTGTTTTGAGTCTGCATATGCTTTGCGTTTTCATGATTATGGGTTGTGCTGTGAAAGGAAATACTAATTTTAATGTTCTGCATCCTTCTTCTTCCTCTCTTTGTTTTCTTTTTTTCCCCCTCATTTTCTTCTAGTACGGAGAAGTCTTAAATGTGGTAATATCGCGTAAAAAGAGTGGAAGTGCTTTGGTGGAGTTTGCGACTGTGAAAGCAGCTGTAAGTACCAGACTTCTCCCTGCCTGTTTCCTATTCTGTTATTTCAGCATTGAACACAGTGTCTTCACATTGAGCTATTCTTACAGTTTACAGCAGGGGTCACCAACTATATATGTCAGAGGCCCAGGATTTTCCTGGACAGACACCCTGGGGGTCAGACACTGGCAAAAAATGAAATGAAAATCACATTTCTGTGGTTATATAACGTCGTTATTTGATGTTTATTTTTTAACCCGGTCGCAAGCCGGGTTGGACGGTTTGGCGGGCCAGATTCGGCCCACGAGCCCCCGGTTGATGGTCCCTAGTTGACATATATTAGCACACAGTATATATTTCAGCTGTGTTTATTACACTTTTGCATACCTTCATTTTTTCATCTCTATTTTAAGAAGATAACATTGGTTAATCTGTGAATGCCTTTTTTTAAAAAAATCTGACTGTTTCTCTCGAGTGTTTTTGTTTTTGTCGTGTTAAACAATTTTTTCTGTGGTTACAATGGCTCTGAGCACCCCCAGGACAATAAAGACTACCTTATCAGGTGTATCAGTGGCTCAGGAGACCTGCCACCTGCCGAATGCTCTGTGCTGACATTTAAATCCTTTTTTTTTTTTTTTTGTTATTCGAAATAAAACGAGCCCACTCATTGTTCCCCAATGTTTTGGTCTCGGGCTCTTTGTTTTGATGGTGTACGTTTCAGTTGTGGTTTCCTCACCGCGGTGCGTGGTTTCCCTCCAGGCCTCATGTCTGCCAGTCCACTAGAACCTGGGTACAGGCTCTGTGGTATCTTTCTAACCCATGTCTGAATCGTAGCCTCTCTCCAGGATTTGGCATGTGTTCAGTACCAGTTGTCTCTGTACAAAGTCAATTGTTTTTTTTTTAGTGACTAGTAGGACAATAATAATCTCTGCATCATCTAAGAGATTATTTTATGCTTTTTAGGAGCTGGCACTGAAGCATGAATGTGGCCTGAGTGGGAATCCCTTGAAGATTTCGTGGCTTGAAGGAGAGCCCAAGGTCATTGTTCCAGAAAGTCAACCTGGCTGCTTCCTGCCCTCACAGGTAAAGTGGATCAACACCAACTCATACATACATACAGTGGTAACTTGATTGGCAAGCCACTACTGCCCCTAGTGGTGCTAAAGAAACCGGACCTGTGACCATAGTTGAGGACGTAATATAACCAAGACATTTTGTGCATCGTCAGAAATGCTACCAACCCTAATTATTCCAGAGAGATTAAAAATGTTCTGTTTATCTATGTTCATTTGTCACAGTTACCGTAGCCACACATTACGACTCCGTGTTTTCACTTCATGTCTACTGTAACTACAACAGTGAGTGATAACAGTGTAGTGATAACACAGACAGAGGTTGATTTTTTTTTTTATTATTCATTTTTCATGTTCCTACAAAAGAGCAACAAATAAGGCAATTAAACTGAAATATAGTTGGAAACCATTTCATACATAATTATGAGCTAATTAGTCAGAGCTGCAGTTTTCATGTTCACTCCTGTCATTCTTCACAGAATGATCCACATACATTAGTACAGTATGTTAATGAGTTCCTATCATGTGATGACGATAATCATACAAAATATGTTTTGTTCTGTTGTGTGTCCATGACGACCAAAAAGCTCACAGTGTTATTGTCAGTAAAAATGATCACAGTTCATTCTCATGCAAGAAAATAATTGAACCACGCGGGTTGTTTCTGTTCAAAGACAATGACAGGAAGTAGTTAGTTCCTGCATGAGTTTAAAAAAAAAAAAAAAAAAAAAAATCTGAAACTTAACATAAGGTGCTGACTTCAACTTATCACCACTACTGACCCAAATGTACAAGGTCATTTCTGACTTTCAGACCTAAAACCACTTTGTTACGTCACAGTCTGTCTAATAGGCTGGTTTTAGTTTTTTTCTATGCATATTGGTTATCAATGACTAAAATACAGCGCTACCTCCATCATTAAGGCTGTGGAGAATTCTCTAGATCAGGGGTCACCAACCGGCAACCTCCATAAAATACCTAAATAAAACTAGTCAACAACAGGGGCAAAAATTTTGGGGTTGTTTGATTCTTTGGCTGGGTTTGTGACTTATACTCATGTGCGACTTATATACAAGTTTTTTTCTTCTTCATTATCCATTTTTTGGCATTGTGGAACTCATACCTGCAGCGACTTATATTCTGAAAAATACAGAACTTTATTCGGGAAGTCTTTATCAACCAAGTAGCTTTTCATATTAATACTTTTTAAAGTACATTTGAAGTAGCTCTGAGTTTCAAAATGGTTGGTGAGCCCTGTACTAGATTTCAGAAGTACATCCATTTACTGTTAAATGATCTCTCTCAAATCCATATTTAGCATCGATTTTTTTTTAATGCCTTCTGTCAGACAGAGATATTTTTTGTCTTCTTACATTTTCTGCAAAACAAATCTCTGCAACTACTGTTTCTCATAATTCGGTGCTCTGGCAAACTGATCAGCAAACATTTCTCAAATTAATTCCACTAATGTAAATAGAAAAAAAAAGTACAGCTGAACTCCTACTGTTCTGTCAATGCCATAGTAATAACACTGCCTAAACACTCACACACACAGAAAGGTATGTAAACCGTCCTGAGGCTTCGTTTCATATCAGTGGCACAACTGTTACCCCTGCGCTCGCTTTCCCCTCGTCTGACCTCCGACCATGTGTTGCGTTTATTTGCCTTGGAGTAGCGAGGCACCGGACTGGTACTGGCCCACGGCCTCTGGTCGACAGCTCATTAACAGGCCTGACCTGGAGGAGCCCAGGCATGCGGTGCTTCCCATGGCAACGGAGGAAACATAGTCAGCAATAATGGCAGCCTGGCACGTCAGATTGGCTGAATGTGTCCACTAAACTGGGTCGGTGTAGTGACTGAGTTTAGTTTAGCTTCGTTTGGTCCAGCTTAACTTAGCTTAGCTTGGTTTAGTTATGTACAAACTTGACTTTTTAAAAAAAATGATGTGCACATGCAGTCCCAAAGGGAATCTGTTGCTTTTCAACAGTGAAGTTTGACTGTAGAATCCCAGCCTCCCCCTGCTGTTCCTCACGAGTTAATAAGAGATATTTATATTTGTTTGGATACGCATTCATATACAGAGAGAGCAGCACAGGCCGCGCTAAATTATTCCGCTTCTCCCAGATGACAAAAAGTCTCGTTAGTACGTAATACTGAAACATGTATTCCCATTGGTTTTTTTCCACATTTTTGTCTAAATTATTATTTGATGTTTATTCCCATTTTTTTTCATCATATCATTTTTGTCTAAATTATTATTTGATGTTTATTTTGGAATCCAGTAGCAGACCGAAATGCATGGTTTGGCGGGCGTGTTTTGGCTCGCAGGCCACCAGTTGGTGATCACTGGTGTGGAGGAAGCAACGTTGTTATTGATTTGAAATAAAGTAATCGCATGAGCCAACATATGTAGCTGCTCTTGTGGGCATTTCAGTACGTTTTAAACAAAAAAAACAGAAAAACGCTCTAGTCTTTTGAAGTTGGTTTAGCGTTGGATGGTGTGGCCGCTCTGTGACACCATGACTTTTTAAAAATGTGGTTCTGTTGTGAGTTATTTACCACAGATTATACATTAACAAAGGAAGTGCTTGGTACGTGACAGTGCCATTACCAAACTGAAGCCAACTTCAGGTAGCCAAAGAGTGGAGCACGTAAACCTTGTTTGGTGTTAAACCTCTTTTTTTATTTAGGGACCGTCATTGTGTGTCTGAAGCAATAATTAGGAAAGAACAAGCTGCTGCTGCTGCTGCTCCCTAATGTAAAGTTTATGAAAGTTTTTTTTTTTTTTTTTTTTTGGGTCTGTGGTTTGGTTTGAAAAAAAAATGGCAATTTACCTACCACTATTGTAATTTCATTTTTATTTTTCTAAAGAGCCGCTCCTCCGCTGCTGAACTGGGTTTCACCCTGAAGCTCGGTGTGATGTCTCCGATCCCTTTTGTCAGGCCTAGCATGTCAGGCTCAGCCGGCTCACTGGGACTTGTCAGACTAATCTCTTTAAATGTTATTATGGTAACCCAGGTTGCCTCAGAGATATTCAGAGTTGATTACTTCATGTTGAACCTTTGAATGAAAACATTGCTCTAGCGGTGTCATTTTCACATTAGCCCTCAGCAAAAATAGTTCTCTCTAAGCAGGCCCCACATGACATAATAGGTTACCAGTGTAGATATTAGCAGTTCAGATAGAGGAAAGAGGAAATGAAAAGTCAGAGAGCTGGAGGTCTTTCTCTTTCGACTTATTTAAAAAAAAAAAAGAAAAAAAAGAAAAGAAAATCCCCCACCTCTTCTCTTGTCTACCTCCTGTTCACCCCCCATATCCCCCCCACCCCCCATGTCAGCCAGCTGCAATCACAGAAGAACGAACTTGGCTGCGGACTTGCTTCTTTAACCTTGTCAGTCTAAACCGTGCTCGGAGATTCAGGGTCTCACAGCGGGGAGCTCAGAGACACACACACGAATGACTTCAGATCCAGCAGTGGTGGGCTTAATAAATAAATCTGGGGCCTGTGTGAGGGGCCCGGAGGAGTGAGAGTCCAGATGTTGGGTTCCAGTGACCTTAAACATGACTAACTGCAGAGTGATGGGATTTTAACTGCTTTTACTGAGACAGTGACGGGACCCCGTCCACCGCTGCTCGTTTTCTTCTGCCTTTGTGTTCCGATGCTGATGCCCATGTTCACAAAATGATTCAGACTCCTCTTAGAGGAAAAAATGTTCTATTGAGTTACTTACACCCTTCAATGTGTGAAGTTTCACAAACTGCATCGAATGGAGGACGTTGTGTGTCGGAGCTGCAGTTGTTCACCTCAGGTCAGAGCTTGGGGGTAAACACTGACATTGGAGATTGAAAACCCTGTTCAGCTACTATGTCTCTGATTGTCTGAAGTCATTAAGGCCTGATTCAGCAGAGGGCGCTCCAAGCACACCTCAACCATAGCTCATTGCGTTGCCCATTGGTGCTGGTTTGTTGCTTCCCTGCCGACCAATTAAAACCAGGGCATATAAATAGCGGACTCTTCATCCCTCTGTGCCTGTTCGTGGATCAGAATATTCTAGCCAAATGTAAACCCTTAGGCAGTGGTTCTCAAACTGTGGTACGCATACCACCAGTGGTACGCGAGCACTCTCTAGTGGTACGTGGGGGAAAACTCATATTTTCAATTGAATAAATCTCAAACATACCATGCACAATTAATACAACATATAAACATAAACATCTTTATAAAAATTTAAAAACATTTCTCCTGTGGTGGAAGCTAACAATGAAGGCCTACGCTGCTTTATTCTAATGTTGGTCACAAATAATGAACTCACAATACAGTATCTTAAAAGAATCAACATTTTACAGACTCAATCTTCTGGATTTTTCCAGTTCGTTCTCTGTGTTTTAATGCCTTCGTGCCAGAGTCAGACGACGTGATCGCTAACTCACGTCGGCGGATTACCTTTGCAGACGAGCACAGGAATGAGCTTCTCAATTGAAACAACATGTTGTGACTGGTAGTAGGACTTTAAATCCTTTATGCTAATCAGGTAATGACGTAACAGTAGTTACAGGGACCATTACAACAGTTGTGTTTTAATAACGCCTTCATGTGCTGTAGCAGAAGTGCTGTGGTTGCTGTAGAAGTGTGTTCTCTCAGAAGTGTAAATAGTTTGTCCAGTATCAGTATAGGATTTCACATGTGGTCGTCTCCGCTCTATAGATTCCACAGAGTCTAACTGATGTTCCATATTTCAACTTCCCAGACATGGAACCATCTAACCATCTGCTCTCTCTCTGCCAGACACGATGTTTGTGTCTCGGGAGATACGATGCCATCATTAATCATTGTGTCTTCATTTATAGTTTATTGTGTAGTTTATCAAACCGCAATATTTAAAGGGAATCCATCATAAACCATTTAAATGGAGTTGTTGTTTTTGTTTTTTTTACGTCTGGCTTTCAAGAGTCATTGTGAGTTTGTCACGACAGAAACGGGATGAGTCATCGTGAGTTTGTCACGACAGAAACGGGATGCAGCTGTTTAGCTTTTCTGTGATTGTTTTTCCAGTCTGCTAGTTCGCTAGTACGATACTTGAAAACTTTCACCTAACGTAGCCTTTGACTCTCGAAGAAATGCAATACGTATCAACCTGCCAGAGCTCGGATGAGATACGTTCTCTCTGTGTTTTTACTGCAACCACATGTGAAGATGATGTAGCAACAATGATATGAATAAAATAATAATCCAATTATATCAGTAATATACAATAAAAAACAATAAGAAATGTTATTAATTTATAACAAAAAGGTATTAATATTAACAACAACAATAATAATAACAATAATATTAATAATAATAATGTAAGCATAGTAATATTAACAATACAGTTGTTATTATTATAGCAATAATTATATAAATAATAATATAATAGTTGTTTTTATTACTTGCGTTATTTGTATTTTAATGGTTTTGTTATTGTTGCTGTGATATAAACAGATACATAAGACGATTGAATAGTAAATACACAGCATACATTTTATTCAGTTTCACAGTGTATTAGAACAAACTGTCACAACACATTGTACAAAATTCCCTTTTGAAAACAAACTCATCTTGGCTGTGTCTGTGAGGGGAGGAGAACCATTTCTTGTTTAGCGTAAACACTTTTATTCAGTACCTGGCGTTTAAAAACAAAACAAAACAAAACAAAAAAAAAACTCATCGAACTTACTCCTCGGCGAGATGACAGGGGTTTGTGGTATTTGTATGACAAGTTTAGTTTGGGCAAGTGGAGTGGAACCAGATGTCGATAGGAATACCTCACAGCTCGGTCAGTGTGTGCGGTGCAGACGAGATAATTTCTGGTTCGGTTACAGGCTCGCTTTTCTCACATCAGGCTGAACTCTCGGTGAGCTCAACCGCGCCGGACTCCTCATATCAACGAATTTTGTATAGACTTCTTTCTGCTCATATCTAAGACGTAGCCCGACCTACTGTATTTCTGATACGTCTTGTCCGTCTGTTGGACGTCACGTCTGTATCAGACGCTGTAGCTGTGCTTCAGATCGTCTCTCCGCCAAACAACACGACAGTTTTCTCACAGTCTGTTTTCCTGCACTTCTGTGACAACACATGAACTCCTGCTTGACATGCCTGTCTAATTTAGCCTCATGTGTCTCCTCACTTTGAAATAATATTATGGTGCTCGCAGGAGTGGACAGTTCGGGGGCTATAATTTATCTGGAGACGGTGTGAAGCGAGGAATAATGTCTAATGGTTAAAAAGACAAATATATGAAGGTCCGTGACGGGAGTGTAAACAGACTCAAAGAACCTTTTTAAAACAAGACAATCCTGAGAGACGGCCTTCCTTTTTTTATTTCCTCCTCAAAGGAAAAACAAATATCTTACCAACAGTGGCATGGACCGGCTGTTTAAAATAGAAGGTTCCACAACAGATGTCCTGTGCAGATGTTCCCACAAACATTGCTGTTCCTGTCGGCACATAGATAGAACTCCGAGTCTGTTGCCAGATATAGGACAATTGTGGGGTTTTTGTTGTTTTTTTTTTTGTTTTTGTTTTTTTACAGCACGACCCGTGAGGCACGGAGGAATTTGACTTTGGTTCTGGTTGCCTCGCAGTCTTTCCTGGTCCAATCCTGGAAAAAAAGGTTGCTGTAAATGTTTGCACAAATTTCATCTTGACCCTGCACAATTCCCATAAATGTGTCCGTCGCTTGACTCGCTCGTCAGCGTGTGAGACCCGTGTCTGTCTCTTTCACGTGTCAGGGCTGTTTGGTCAGAAGGTAGTGTTTAAACCCTCATCATGACTTGTGTTGCAGTAATGGATGTCTCTGGTCCCGCTCCCTTGGCACCCCCCGCATTTGTGGAAGTATCACATTACCCTTTACCACTATGTCTCTCGTGCGCCACACACCAGAGCTCCAGACTCTGATTTGCAGCTAAGAAAACAGCCCGACCCATCTATTTTTCTCCTTCTTGGGTCTTGGACTTGTGGCCTGGGTTGGTCCGCAGCCCAACCTGCCACCGCTTTTATTGGAAGCAGAGCTAAGTGTTTGTTTTCACTGCATTGTTGGGAATGAGAGATGGGGGGTACCTTGGTCTACCTTTGAGTGGGGCCTCTGGGATGCGTGCGGAGGAAAAATTGCGCTCTGCACACAATAGACTGGCAAGCACGCCAAGAGCCAAGGCATCACAGCTCGAGGACCTTGGATTCTAGCCGCAGCTTTTCTTTTCTTAAACACAACACTCTTAAGTCTTAACAGCCGTTTTTAGTGCACGGTGGAGCCGTGCGGTTTGGAGAGTGAGAGAAGTGAAGGGAGGTGAAAAGGTCCAACTCGCAGTTGCACATTTTCATCAGTCAGGGTCAATTATTAACTTAACTCTGCGAGAGGTTAAACAAAGGAGAACATTAACTTTGCGTGATTAGTTTGTTTTCCCCATCGAACCTGATTATCTTGATTTTTACCAAATGAGGTGGACCATCAATATTATGATCTCTAGATAGTGTAAATCGTACAGGATGGGATTTTTTTTTCCTAATCATTGTTTTACTCAGTCAAAGAGAAATGAACAATTATCTTCTGTCAATAAGTTTCTTTAATTACTTCCAATGAAACGGAGGTGCAGTCGCTGTTCTGTCCACAGCTTTATTGCCACTGTTAAACATACCAGGATAACAAAAAAAAAACAGTTACTTTCTGGTTGAAGATCTCTTTTAAATATCAGTTTCTCTATGAAATCAGAATCGTTTTCTTCCTCGCTGAAACACTCAGTGACTAGCAATGCAGTTTGTCCATCACCTGAAGAACGTCATCAAGGATTGAAGGTCCAAGGTCGAGACTAAATGAAAAGTTACTCTCTTCTTCCTTCTGCGTTTCAGTATTTTCACATTGCATTTCTGCGGAGTCTGTGTCCTTTTCTGAAGCCACACTTCCCAGATCAGGGTTCAACGCCTGGCTGCGTGAGCCGTTATTTTCCTTTTGGTTCCTCGCATCCTCTTCAATCTCTTCCACGTCGTCACTGTCCAGCAGTGGCATGGAGTTGCTTTTTTTTCTCTTTTGGTAGGTGTTGAGCTGCCGGCACGCGGACCAGTCGGGGCTCTCAGAACCGTCCGTCTCATCCACGTTGAGGCGAGGGGGCTTTGGCGGAGGAGAGCAGGCCATAAAGAGGTTCTGTTCACTTTGAGAGCTCTTCAACATCAGACTGTGGCCGTTCTTTAAAAAGGACAGGTCCCCAAAGCTGTCCCCGTGGGCATCGTTACCGATGTGAGTGATGTGTCGGAAGTCGGCCAGCGGTAGGCTGATCATGTTGACGGACAGCACCTCTCTCCGTCTAGAGTTCCTGCTGGACCACCGGCCAGACGTTTGCTTCCTATAAAGAGATGTTCTTAGTGGCATTTTGAAAGATTTGGCTCAGAGAGGGCTTGGAAAAATAATTTTGTAAAAAAAAAAAAAAAAAAAGGTGTTGTTTGAATTTCCTCCTGTTTTCACCAGTGAATCCTTAAGAAAATATGGAACGTCAAAAACATAATGGTTCCTGAAAAAAAACAACACAAAAAAGTGTTAGTGTTTGTGGATATTCTCAGTCATCCAGGTCATCACAACAATCTCACCTCAATTAAGTTGAAGATGTTTTGCGAAACACCTTCAGATGTTAGTGTTACACAACAGTAAAAATAATTAATGTAGCCTTAGATTATATTGAAGTTTTTTTGATAATCAAGTCTCCCTCTAATGTTAGCGTCTGGAGAATGTTTGAGCTTGTCACGAAGTTTAGCACCAGATGTAAGTGTTTGACTTTATCACAGTGATGCGAATCGGCAGCCATTGTTTAGAGATTGCACTTGCTCCACTTGATTTGGATTTAATGAAGTTCAGTTCTATTTGGCAGCTGAGGGATGTTCCAACAATGCTTTGAAGAAATCGTGTCTAAATATTTACTTTTTCACGGTTATTCCCACAAATGCTGGTGTGGTTTCCTGCACATCCTTCAGAGGAAATCCATTAGCCCGTTTGAGACTCCCAATGAGAAAAATGCAGATTGACAAATGGTTATTGATGTCCTACATGAAAGTGCATTGCATCAAATCACGCGTCGTTTCAAAATCTTGAGGATTTGCTATTATTTCTGTCAGAAATCACGATGTTGACTTTGATTATGAACACATGTTTATGATTTTCTGTGCTGTTCAAAGTTTGTCAAGTACAAATAGCTGGGATGCAGTCAGTTTACTTTGCTGTGGTGTAAGAGTTATGCAGTGACTGGATGTGGAAGCTAATGAACAATTGAAATTCCGTGGCCATTGTAATTAAGCCGAATATATTGTGATGCAGTTTGGGGAATGTGTACAATTAAAATTTCACTTTCACCAACAAAATTGAAAAATATGTTTTTGGTCAGCGTGGAAACGCAACAATAGCGTTCGAAACGCAAGTCACACTTGACTTCAAGAAGACCCTATTTGCATTTTCGTGACTTGTATTCATTTTATTGAGTAGAACAGCTCGTGGTTAATCAGCGTCGGCATGTGGATTACATAATCTGCTCAGTGTCTGTGATTTTTATTGCCTCCAACAGCTTTGCCCTCATCAGGTCTGCGTTCGTGACTCCAAAACATGTACTTTGTAAATTTGTAAGTCACTATAACAAGCAGGTTTTGTTGGGTTGTAAAGGTTTTATCTGCACTTTAGTAGCAGCGGGAGGCCGAGGAGCGCGGACATAACAGCATTCCTTTACAAACATGTAAGTTTGACCAAGGAGGAGTCTTGAGACTCGAGCCATAGGTATCATGCTCAGAAAACACTTTAATGCCAGGTCGCGAATGGAGTAAACCATTAAACTAGCTTGGCCACAAAACACAATTCAAAAGATTGGGGGTTTTTGTTGTTGTTGTTGTTAAGAATTCAACTTTAAATCTAGCAGTTTTTTTTCCCCCATGAAAACCTGAGTGAAGACCAACTATTCTAATGCTCACGTTATCAATCAAGTCACATTAACTAAGAATAGAAAGTCATAATTCTTACCTGGACGCCTGAGCAAATAGAGGATATCACGTCGCACACCGACACAGGTTTCTGTCAGGAAACGAAGCTGTGTCTGCCTGCACTCCCTGACAACCTGTTTTCTGACATGATGGGGCTTGTTGAGTGGTTGGAGCAAAGCCCTTGTTGTACAGCCTTCACACAGAGAGGCAGAATGAGATAAAATGATCTTTACCTAAAACACACCGACAGGTAAACGTTTCTTTGGCTTTGAAGCGCTCTACTCTATCAGAACAGTGTTTTGTTTCTTACCTTTGTTGATAATTTGCCCTGATGAGTGTTTTCACCAACTGAACATATGATCCCGCTTTTGTTGCTGATCCATTTCCCTGTAAACGTCCTGCATTGTGTTGCAGGTGAAAGTCTTCTTTGGCTAAGAGATAAGAGGAGATGAGGTCAGAGTACAAGGAGGGAAAATCGCACCCAGGTTTGAAGTGTTCTCGCTGTGATCCTACTTAAGATCGGTCATTGGTCAATCACTGGTTTGGATGACATCAGCCCAATTAAAAACTGAGTTTGGTTTTTAGTCATAAATGATAAAAATAACGCCCGTTGCTTGGCTACACCCAACAAGAAGCTGTTGATTCTGGAGCTGGATGGTGTGTCGGTGCACCTCACAGCAGGTTAATGTTCTGCGCTTATGTGCAAAAAAAAAAAAAGGAAGTCATGGTCAGTGAGCAAACAGGAGAGTCACACGGAGGGAGGAGGTGAACTGATCTCTAATCTCTACCATTGTTTCTCTTCTCTGCTGCTCTCCTGATTTCCTGCCGTCTGTTGACTCGTCCAAAGCCCGTCCAGTGCACAGGCTCTTCTGCCTGACTGGAGGCCTATAGTTTCTCCATGAAGTCATCACACACCATTCCACTCCGTACATGTCGAGGCACGCACATTGGATTGCACAAGAAATACTTGTTGCGTATCCAAATATCATGCCTTCAGCGTGTTGTCTTTGCCTGTGGAATGCTACAGTGGGAGAAACAGTTTCACTGCCGTGTTTTTATTTTTTTCTCCCAGTTTTCTGGAATTTCTGTTTGAATGCCCCAGGTCTTTTATTTTCAGGGCTTGTGGCTGATTACCACTTTGTTGGTAATAGAACAATACCTTTAAAATCCATCCATCCATCCATTTTCATCCGCTTATCCGTTACCGGGTCGCGGTAAATCACATTGCACCGTACCGAACCCCCTAAACCTTCCTGCAGGTGGTGAGTCCACTGGAAGGTACCAACCGCCCTAACTGGGATTCGAACTTGCCCAGGAGGTGAACCCTGGGGTTTCACACCAATGACAGAGACATTGTCTCTGGGCCAAAGCGCCACTACCTTTAAAGTATATTCTGATATTATATGATTCATATTTTATTCAATAATAACAGAATTAGTAAGCACAAGATTATTAAGAAACATGTTTTCTGTCTGTCCGTGAAGCCATGCTTAATGTTTGCTTTCTGATATTTTTAGTTGATTTCAGTTGGCCATGAGTTTTTAGGGCGTATTTTTGCCGTAGAGTCTTGTATCTTGGGTCTATTTCTTGTCAATTTAAAGTATATTCTGATATTATATGATTCATATTTTATTCAATAATAACAGAATTAGTAAGCACAAGATCATTAAGAAACATGTTTTCTGTCTGTCCGTGAAGCCGATATGTCTGATATTTTTAGTTGATTTCAGTTGGCCATGAGTTTTTAGGGCGTATTTTTGCTGTAGAGTCTTGTATCTTGGGTCTATTTCTTGTCAAATGTCTGTGTCATCACACAGTTTGTACAGTTCAGAATTAAATAAAAAAAGAATCTTATCATCCCTCCAATGTTCTGAGGCCCAGTGGGAACCCCCCAAAAGAGCACAGCGCCCCCCATTGAAAACCACTGCACTGGGTCTCTATACTGATATTTTCCTCAAATGTTTGTATATGAGTACGAAGACTACTGTGGAGACCACTGAATGGTTTGTTTTCCAAACCAACTGACATGGTGTAGACTGAAGGAAGTCAACAAATCATATCTCTCACTAATCATTGAGTCGTTTGAAATCAGTCCAATAAATGTCTTGCACGCTGCCGGATTCCCCCCTGCTCCCCTGGTCTGAGCGCTGGTGCCAGAACAGTCTGCAAGACCAGACACAATTACTCACGCAAATAAATTATCAAAACATTTATTCAAGACTTCTGAGAAGAGATTCCACCCCCAACCTC